TTCCCCACCCTACCTGTCCCTCAGTCTTTGACACTTTCATTCCTTTGCTGCCACCCTTTCAGGAACCCTCTATGGTTTTTAGTTTAAATTAAAGGAGTCATTATTGTGGTGGGAATATGAAATAAAGTGGAAGAAAAGGCCGTGGGCTGGTCTGCTGGTGCTTGGGGTTGGGAAAGGGAGGGTAATGGTGTGCTGGACCCCAGGAGCCCTCCTGGCCCAGCTCACCCTCCTCAAATTGAAAACCAGCACAGATTTGTGCCCAGTGGATTTGGATGATGTTTTTATTAGTAGAGCAAAGTTCCTAGGACTGGATGTGGGGATGTGCAAAGATCACAAGGGAAAGACTCAGAGAAAAGTCAGATTTCAAAGGCTAGAGAGATAATTTGTTCTTTTTGGGTCACCTATGGCTGTCTGTTTATACTCTAAGGGATGTAATCAACACTTCAGTTTGGGTTTTACAGGGAAAGTGGTTTCCCAAAACAGACAACTGTAGGGGGTGGGGAGAGGAGGGACAGGTCCATAATTGCTGCTTTGTGGTGTCCATGCGCCCTCTACTGGGAGAGCTGAGACCTCATCTCAGAAGGATGGGGTCACTGGGTTGCTGGCCAAAGTTTCTCCCAGCGCAATAGGGACTGGCTCTGTTGTGTAGAGAGGATAGCACGTTGTGCCAGAGGCAGAAACTAATCCATGCATCCTTGAGGGGCGGGAGTAGATCTGTGAGGGGCAGGCAGGACAAAGGTAAACTGCTGGACTGGGGCCCAGGTATTGCCCCTGTCTGGGCGACTGCCCCTACATTCAGGAACCAGACCTTGTGGGTGAGGACATGCTGTCCCTCCTGCCAAGTTAATAGCTTCCTCCTCCAGCCAGGATCCTGCCCCAGGCGGAAATAAAGCTCTGTACCTACGGTAGCTCCTACCCAGATTCTGCTTTGTCAAAACCACCCTGCAGCTCAGGCTCAAGGGGTATGGTCACAGGAAGGTGGGGTTTCAGGTCACCCCTCATGGACTGCCCTTCTCCCCAGAATTCCATAATGAAGGCCCATATGCTTGTAGGTGTGCTGGTCATGGTGGGATTCACAGTGGGAAAGGGTAAGTGGGGCCCAGGGGCAGGGAGGGAGGAAAGATTAAGTCCAGGCAGGGGGGTGGGCTGTGGCACTGGATGTGCTGGCTCCCTGCAGGGCAGGGAACTTGGAGTGGGTCAACACCCCCATCCCTCCTGTCTGTTTCCCCAGCTCCTGTTCCTGAACTCCGGACCTGCCACCTCTGCCTCTTGGAAGATCCTTCTGTAGGATGCATTTCAGGCTCGGAGAAGTGCACTGTCAGCAGTGCATCCCCATGCATGGTGATCACCATCTATTATGGTGAGTCAAGTCCCAGGAAGGGAATACTAGCAGGACAGCCTATGGCTTGGTCTCATAGATGAGGGCTGCTTGGGGCCTGAGGTATAAGACAGGGAAGTGGAGGTGTCTGGGATTCTGGGAGCCAGTTAAGCTAATTTTTCTGGCTCCTTCTAAAGGAGTCTGGGATAGGAATTGGGTCTGGGTGAGGGATGGAGAGAGCCTGTGAAAGGGGTGCCAGGTTTGGGGACTGTGGGAGGCAGCAGGGGTCATTAGCTGTCCCCTCCCCTTTAGAGACCAAGGTTCGCTTCTTCATCCGAGGCTGTGGACAGTATAATTCTTACCGCTGCCAAGAAAAACGCTCCACCTACTTCCCAGAGTACTGGTACCAGGCTGAGTGCTGCCAGTACAACTACTGCAACTCCTGGTCCAGCCCCCAGGTCCAGGGCTCCCTGCCTGAGCCCACTGACGGGTCCCTGCCCCAGCCCCTGTCTGAGTCCCAGATCCAGTGGTTCTACCAGGCCCTGAACCTCTCACTGCCCCTACCCAGCTTCCATGCTGAGAAGGAGCCTGAAGGCCTGGACCCCCTGGCCGCCCCAGCCCTGAACCTGAGCTTGTCCATTGCTGAGCTGCGCCGCATATACTTGTTCCTCAACAATTCAGGACTTTTAGTTCTTCCCCAGGCTGAGCCCTGACATCTTACCCTTCCTGGATTCCACTCTAATCCGGCATCTCTCCCCTAACACCCCAGCATCCTTCACTGCCCTCTCAGAAGACCACATTCTCTGGTCTGTGAGTTCTCGGGCCTCTTTTCCTCTGTACTTCATGTCTGTTTTAGTTTAGTTTCCTCCCCAGAAAGCAGTTGGCACTGCACCCACTGCCCTTTGTCCATCTAGAAAACAGTCTCAAAGGTGGGTAATGCCTAGGCTGCCCTAGGAGAGTCACAGTGGTTTCCTCATCCCTTTCCCGTCATCCCCCTCTCGTCTTCCTGATCCTCTCTCAGTCTGGTCACTTCCCACTTCCATTCTTACACTCTCTCTAAAACCTTGTGCCAGACTGGACTTGCATCAAGAAGGGTGAGGGATGGACTTCTGTGCAGATTTCCTGACTTGGTACTCTGGCGTTCCTACCTCACTGTCTCTACCACCCTCACTCCCACCTGGTCTCCTACTGCTTTCTCTCATCTCATCTTCGTCTCTGGCTTCCTCAGCTCCACTTCACGTCACTGAGTCCTGGCACCCGCTTCCACAGGTTCCCAGAGAGGGGAGCGGCTCTGTCCTCTGCTCCACACTCCCCAGTTTCCCTCCACAATAAACAAACTGGGCTAAGTCTGTGTCACATGGTTTATGGGGTCAGGCTCAGGTGTGGGCAGGTGTAGACAGGTTAAAGAAAGTTAACTGGGTGTGGGGTTCAAACAGGGTTGCAGCACCCTGCCCACTCAGCCATTGTGGCTTCCTCGTAGTCCGTCCCACACAGCGCTCATCCATTCTGCCCTCTGCTCAGCAAGAGATCAGAGTATCCTTGTGAATCCTCCCAGCCTTAAACATACCCTACAAAACCTAGGTAGTTAAACCTGAGTGATGTCAGGTTTTTCCACCTAAGAAAGGAGGAAAAACTCAACCAGGGAAACTCAAGAGCAAACCAAAGGGCCCAGGTCTGCATCTCAGAGTCACCTGGAGCTGAGGTTCCTGCGTTCCTGCCTATCCTCAGTTTTCAGGATCCTGGCACCTAGAACCTCCTCTGTGGGGAAGTACAGAGAGCACACAGGTGGGGTTGCAGTGGTAGAATCTTTCATTTTAATGCTTTGAAAAACTGTAAGCATGCAGAGGGCAATAATGAATATTCATAACTCATCCTTTCCCATACATTCAGTAAACACTGAACACACTGCTCTGAGCCAGGCCTGGTGTTAAGCACCAGGAGTTGAAGATGAGTACATCCAGGCATCCACCCTTCTGAATTTTATAACCCAGTTCTGGGATTGTGAAACCTTTTTCTGAATAGTAGTGCAGCTTTGTGGCTAGGAGGCCAAATCCCAGCTCCTCTGCTACTTGGGTAAGTTGGTCTCTGCTTCACTTGGGTCATTTGTCAAGTAGGGATAGTGCCTCATAAGATTGAGAGAATGAGTGTAAATATGTGCACACAAATGGAAATTAGGGGCTCAGAAATAGACACATGCCTTAGAGACAAACATACACACAGATTTTGGCCTATATAGTTTTAAACCTTTTTGGCCATACAGAAGTTTGCACACCAAAAGATGGATTCTTGTAAAATACATGCCTGTGTTACCACTCCCCAAGTTAGCATAAAGGCCTTTATCGGCACCCAAAGCTGCCTTCACACAGCTACCTCCTCAGCCCTCCCCGCCAGCTCTTAGGGGCAGCCACTGTCCTGAGTCGCACCGCCATAGATGAATTTTGTCTGTGTGCTGAACAGAAGTGGTGTCACGCAGCATCTAAATTACACAACATTTTGCACATAAGTTAACAGGTCTTCATGGCCCCTTTAACAGCCTGTGCTCTGGTGAGAGACACCAGTGTTTGCTTTTAGGTCAGGAAGCAGTTGGAGGTACGAAAAGAGGTACCAACCAGTTGTCCCCCTCTTGCTGGCCCACTTTTCCCTGTGACCTCTGACTTCAAAATAAGACAAAGGCCCCAGGGATGGAGTATATAGCTCAGAGGTAGAGTGCATGCTTAGCATGCACAAGGTCCTGGGTTCAAGCTCCAATACCTCCATTTAAAAAAATAATAAAATACTGACATTGCTATTATTAAAAAAAAAAAGTTCAAAAAAAAAAAAAAAAAGGCAAAGGCCCAGGTTTACACAGCTCTAGCGAGTCAAACTGGAAGACAGCCTCAGTGGCTGAGAAATCCAAGGCACGAAATTGAGTAACTTACTGTGGTCCTTGATAAGGGATGTTAAGCTTGAGACCACAGAGGCCAGGGCTCCACTGGGCCTCACATCTCTTCACAAAACTTCTTCCGCACCTTCTCCTCCCTGGCCTGGTTTTTCCACAGCTCCACTCCCACCCACACACCCCCATGGACCTGCCCACTAGTACCCATAGCTCTGGGTCTGATGGCACTTCTGAGGACACCCACTGCCTTTCTTGTCTTCCCTGGAGGATGGCTTCCAGTCCCTCTTCACCTCTTTGTGCCAAGAGCTGAGTCACAGACAGTGGGGCAGGGCGGGAGCATAGCTCTGCTGAGCTGGGAGCTCCTTACGGGCCCCATGATGGGGCCATCAGGCAGTACCACCTCCCTCAGCCTCCACCTCCACCAGAAGAGAGACAAACCAAATACTTCAGTACCTCAATTTATTTTGCAGGAACAGCTGGGGACTTGGGACAAGAGAGGCCTGTGGTGGGAAAAAGGGAAGGAGCAAATCAGGGCAAAGCAGCAGCTTCCAGGCGGGAGCAGACAGGAGGAAAGCTGACAGGACTGAAGGAAATTCTGGAGAGGGAGCCTGGGGAAGGGGCAGAGTGGAAACAGGGACGTTCAAAGGTGTCAACCAAGAAGTAGATAGGGCTGGGGTCCAGTAACTCGGGGGAGGCAGGGAGGGCTAGTGGGCAGGGATAGGCATTGTCCCAGCTGCCCCTGGGTGGAAATTGGGGGGATGGCTGGAAATTGGCAGAATATTACTCCAGAGGTCTCCGCAGAAGTTCTAAGAAATATAGAGCTCTCTGTTCTGAGGGTTATTGCAGAAATTCCGGAAGCAGCATCGAGAAAATATCCAGAAGCCAAGCACCGGAGAAGTGCGGGTGTACGAGCAATCACTCATCTGCTCCTTAGGGCGGCAGTCACTCACCATGATGTCAGAACCACTGTCTGGGGAGGGATGGCAGCAGTCAGTGACACGGAGTTCCAGGCAAAGCCTCGAACCCTCCCATCCCCTCACTCTGCATGGACTGACCACACTGCCCTCAAACCCTACCCTGGACCCCCCCCCCAAATGCAAAGATTCCTGGAACTGGGCAGAGGCAGAGTGCGCCAGGAAGTCACCAGCCATAAACTCTTCAGAAGTTTCCCACCGAAGATTGGTGAGAAAGGGCCATTTGAAATACAGTGATAGTTGGAATGGGGTGAGTTGGGACTTGTGGAGCGAAGTGGGGAGAACCAGCACTTTGGATGGGACCATGTAAGAAAAAGTTGGGAGATGTATTGGAGGTCAGATTGCAGAGGGGAGGTGTTTGTCATTTATTTTATGGATCAAAAGTAAGAGGATATTCCTGCTGCTGTTATATATATTACTGGAGGGGGGAAATCTTTGTGCCCATGTCCAGGGATCGTCATTGCTGCCCTGCTTAAGAGAGTGAAAACTTAGAAGCAACCTAAAGGTCCAGTAGGGGGATGAATAAATTGTCTCTGACATGCCCATGCTGTGAATACTACGCGGCTGGTCAGCAGAACAAGGAAGCTAGTTACAAACTGGTATGGAAACATCAAGTTCCCATAACTGTTAAGTTTAAAAAACAAGTGCAGAACAGTGTTTACAGTAGTATGCTACTCTTTGTGGAGGAAAAAAAACAAGGGGAAAAGGAGTAAACAGCATATTTGTATAGGTGGGATGTGCATTAAAGATCACAGAAAGGATAATAAAGACATTTTTAAATAGTTTTTTGCTGTTTGTGCTTGAGAGCTGAATGGATTGGGCCAGGTGTGGGAAGGAGACTTCTCTTTGATACCCCTGAATACTCTGATACAGAACCACATCTGTGCATCAGCTGTTTGAAAAGTATCATGAAAGGATTTGAATGAAAGCAGTTGTGAACAGCAGTTGATAAGAACACCGTCTCTGGAGCGACCATAAACTGTGTGGCTCAGCCTCTAGGAGACTTGTGCAAGGCTCTGCACCTTTGTTTCCTCCTCTGTAAAATGGGGATAATAATGTCTACCTCGGAGGGTTTTTAGTGCTTAGAGCAGTGCTGGGCACATACTCTGTGTTATGTGCTTATTAACTTGAAAAAGGTGAGGATTCGGGTAGAAGAGCAAGCATGAGGAACAAGGGAATGTAGTCAATTTCCAGCAAGTTGAAAATGAGGTGGAGATGTCTAGAGGGCAATTTGATATGACAGTTTTGGCTAACATTCAGATTTAGGAGGATGCCATACATGGCTGCTAGGTGGAGCCAAAGAAAGATAAAATCCTCTTGGAGAGTAAAGAGCTAAGGACCAAACTTTGGTGAACATGAACTGTTAAGGGTTAAGGAGAATAAGGCAAGACTCATGAAGGAGACTGGGAAGAAGCAGTGGAAGATGGAGAAGACTGATGCTGGCAGGAACGCTGACAGATGGGGAGAAGGCAACCCGAGGAAAGGCTTGTGGATCTGGTGATCTTGAGGGTCCCCTACAAGGCTGGGTGCTATGAGGAGGGTGAGCTGAGGAGGGAAGGAGAGTGGAAGTAGAGATAGGGAGTGGCTCGAAAGGAAAGGAAAGACAGACAGTGATGGAATAGTATCTTAGAGCTGTGGGAACCAGACTTGCGGTACAGCCTAGAAGGCTGGTAGAGGCTCAGTTTGGGAACAGACTGGGCCCAAGACAGAAGGGGGAAAGCAGCTTACTGTTCTTTATGAACAGAGTCATGCAGCTGCTGCCGTGCGGGGCAAGGCAGATATCAGATCCCAGAAGGCACCCCAACTCCTTGGTCTCCAAGAGGCATCGATAGCAGCGAAGGTATTTGTTTAACTGAGGCAGATAAGGGGGTTCTTGTTCATTAAGATTGAGCTGACCTAGAACATAGAGAAGCACTGATTTCAAACCCACCTAATTTCCAGGCTGGCCAACCCCACTGTTTCCTCCCACTTACCCATCTCAAAAAACCATAAAATTGCCAATTCTTTAAAACCATCTGGCTAAATCTTCCATTAGAAGCCTTAGTGCTTGTTAAAAACCACCGTTCTCTGCTATTATACCTCCTGAAATGAGGAACTCATCCATCCATTCATTCATTCACCATGTATTTGAGGGGCTAATGTGTCCAGCACTCTCCAAGCCTCTAAGTTCAATGGTTAGGCCAAGTCAGCCCATTCCAACTTTGGGTACCCCTGTTAGGACAGTTCTTCCTCTGTGACTTGGTGTCACAGTTCCCCACATTCCTCCGCACTCCCAGATTCTCTTGAATATGCTTTCTTAAATCTGTAACATTCAGAAGTGAAAACACCAGCGTGGACCATCACAGGACAGGAAGAATCTCTGCTTTGTGTAGACAAGAGACTTCAAGTAGCCCACAGCCACATTCTTTGTTTGGTGGTCCTCTCATTGATCCAACTCATTAAATTTTGTCCACCAAAGCCCTCCTCTATTACATGCATATTCATCTCCCTCTTCCTCTGGTCCCAGGCCCAGACCCAGCAGAGCACTTGGTGTGAAGCAGATGCTGAGCAAACACTGAATCCTGTTTCTGTGTAAATGGTACTTTGCAGCCAAATGAGGTTATCAGGTTGGATTCAGCCTTGTTCTACATGGTGGATCCTAGTGCTGTCATCTGGTATGTTCGTCCAACCCTCCCTATTCTGTATTGTCCTCAGCTATGAAGAGGTTCCCTTTAGTATATCCACTTAGGTCACTGCTGTTGAGTGAGACATCCCTGGGGAAGTTACCAGAAATCTCCCTCAGAATAAACATCAGTCCATCATCAGTCTGCAGGCATTATCCCACCAAGCCCACACATCCCGTCTTTCCTCCTGCCTAGGTTTACCTGAACATCCTTGGCAGATGTACCCAGACACCTGGTGTCTGTGGATTTCTCTATCCAGCAGGCTAGGAGAACCTTCTGACCCCTTAGAGCCACTTACCCAATGCGAAGCTCATCATGACCAGAATTATTAAGAGGACAGGGCTTTTCCTCTTAATGTACAGGGCTTGGGGGGGCCTCAGATTCCGGCTACCTGCAGGGACTGCCATTAAGTTTATGACTTCCCATCAGCCTCTGGTTTGGCCTTATATTGGTGGAAGAGAAGTTGGCCAAGAGGGCAGGGAGAGGCAACACCTGTTTGGGGTAGAAATCAGTGCCAGAATGGCCAGAGGGACAGAGTGTCCCCACCCACGGCCTTTCTGGGGCCTAACATCCTGGCTTGGGGACAAGGGCCCAGCAACAGGGGAATGAGAGGGGAAACTTCTTCCATATTAATTCAACAGACATTCATTGAATCAGGTGTTGGAGATACAATATTTCACAAAGTCTGTACTCTGACAGAGCACACAGTCAAGTGCAGGAGGCAAGTCAACAAGCAGTGATGGTGGGGAATGCTTTCCAGGGGCACTTGGGCAGTGGAAACTGACCAAAGGGATTTCAGCAGAGGAGTAACAAGATCAGATTTCTGTTCATAAAGATTTCTGAGAAAACCAGTTAGGACGCTATTCCTGAGTCCAGTCACAAGATGGCAGCCTGGTCTAGCAAAAGAGAGGGAAGCCGAGACGTGAATGATTCTGAGATAACATTTAGGAGGAAGACTGGACAGATTTGGACTTAAACTGAATGTAGGGTGAGGGAAAGGGGGATAGGCTTACAAAAGCAGGTGATTGTGATACCATTTTCTAAGATGGGAAAGACGTGTCAGAAATCCAAAAGCGCAATAAATTTTTTAAAAATTAAAAAAACGAAATCCAAAAGCGAGGACACCTGGGCCCCGAATGATCATTCTCAGCCCAGTGCCTCCTGTGGGTTCTGGAAAGTAAGTGCCTTTCCCTACGCCCCCCTTTTCCGGGCCCGCCTCAGCTCTGCTGCAGGTCAGTGGGTCTGATCTCCGGCGCCCACAGGCTCCGGCGCTGTGCGCTCGAACTCCGCGCCTGGCTGCACCTCAGAGGTTTCGGGAGGACGAGAGGGCGGCCGCCAGCCCAAGTTTGGCTCTTGTCCCTGCCGCGGAGAAGCAACCTAGGAACGGCGTGCCGGGCGTCAGGACCCAGGCGTCTGGCCCTAGCCGACACCCAGACACTACGCGGCTTCCCCAGAAGGTGGCACTGTGGCGCCAACATCCCTCCCAGACCGGGATTAGGAGCCCACGCAGCAACCAATGAGCGGCCGCCCACCCGCCTCAGGTGCCGTATCCCCTTCCTCCGCCCGGGGCCTGCTGGGCCCGCCCCGACTGCTCTGTCGGCATCTCGTCAGGTCAGTCCCTCCCTCTCTGTGGGAGACAGGGTTTTTGCTTTAAGGGTCGGTGGGCTGGGGGGGCGCGGGGGTCCTCGGCTTCCAGGAACGCACCACCTGCTCTAGCTTCTGGTCTGGAGGTTTGGGGCGGGAACGTGCCCGAGGGTTCGCAGCTACTGTCCCGGACTACCCAAGAATCCTTCGGTCTCGGGGTGCTGATGAGGAAGATGGGAAGAAACGCACGGAGACACACCCAAGAAACACGGACGCGAAAACAGAAAAACGAGAGGAAGACTGCACGCACCCCAAGAGCTTTGGAAGCAATTTTTTTTTTTTGATGGAGGACTGGGGATTGAACCCAGGACCTTGTGCGTGCTAATCACGCGCTCTACCACTGGGCTATACTACTCCCCACCCCCAAAAGCTTTGGGATGATAGAAATAAGAGAATTATTTTAAAGGAAACTCAAGGTAATGGAGAAATGGGGAGGAGCACCGGCACCTATATAAATGTTTCTTGAATGAGTGACAGAGTGATAGATGAAAAGAATCAGACGGCGGGGACTGCTCTTGAAGCGAGGAGGGCAAAGGGGAGCAGAAGGGAATTTCACAGCGCCCTCTGAATCCCTCTTTCGAATATAACCGTAACGAAAAGGCCAAAGACTATAGAGTTATGGGTGACCAAAAGGTGACCCCCTTTGGTCTCAGGGGTCCCCCTGAGAAGTCCAAGAGGACTTGCCGTGGAGTTACATCGGCCACGCGCCCTAAGGGTCGCAGGAGCGAAGAGGGGGGTCGTATTTCGAGGCTGCGCTGGGCCTTTTTCGGAGGTGGTGGGGCCTTAGGGTTATTAATCCAGCCCTAATTTCGTTTCGCTCTTCCCCTGTCCACGTGGCAGGGCGCGGCGGGTGAGCGCGCAGAACTGCCGGAGTTCGTTGCCACGGTGACGGGCACCTTGGAGGATTTCTTGGGGTGAAGAGGCGGGGCGTTCCAACAGTCGCCATGGTGACAACTGCGGATAATGGTATCCAGACTGAGGGCCTCTCCCCCGGAACAAGAGATAGCTGCGGGTAAGCAGCTGAATGACGAAACAAAGGAGGTCGGGCTTGAGGACCCAACGCCGCAGTTCGGGAATGGATCTGGGCAAACGAGGGGCCGGGCTACAGATAATTGGGCCAGCGAAAGCCAGGTTCTGTTAGGGAAGTGGCTGCGACTCTGCATTCTGGAGCGGAACTTAGAGAGGGGATATTTAATCTGAATATAAATGAATGAAAAAAATGAATGACTGGGTTCCTGAGAGAGCTGGGAAGATTTGGTGATAGATGGATGGGCTATCCCCAACACCTGCCCCCATCCCCGGAACCCTCCACCCTCTGGGCCCTCGTTCACTTGTGACAGCTGTGTAAGCAACACATGCCCCTCCCAAGGACGTAGAGCAAACCTTCTGCCCAAACATGCAGCCCAGAGCTGAGTCCAGCACCTCCCACTAGGAACAGTGCAGGGCAGGGCCTGGCCAATGAGGTGGCCCAGCCCAAGGCCCATCTCTTCTTCCCCGGATTCCAATCCAGTTGTTAAGTCTCCTTTTTCCCAGTCTCCATTCCCTCTCCCAGTTTTCCCAGCAACTCTAGGATGCCTGGGCAACCAGGCCTCACCCGGTGCCCAGCACGGCAAGATCCAGAGCCCCAGCAAATTTAGGGTCTACATCTCAGCTGGTCTTCCCCTGAGACTGCGAGAACCCTGCTAAATAGGGTGAAGAGTGGACAGGGAGCTGGTTCCATCCTGGGGTAGAGGGTGGTTCTGAAAACAGCTGCTGTGAGCCTTATCAGGTGGGGAGTAATCTGAGGCCCTTTGGGTGGGGTGGTCCAGAATTCAAATGTTGAACCTCACCTCTCCCTACTCACTTCAGGTATCCAAGGGCCCATCAGGGCATCCACTGTTCTCTATAGTAAGTGCAGGAAGGAGTGAGGAGGGCAGTGGTGGTGGAGACAGATCAACAGAGTCTCTGGTGGCCATGGCCAGGAACAGGGAGTCCTTTGTCTCTAGGGTGTGAGAGGTGGGGCTGGGTACCTCCTAATTGCATTTAAGGAGGTTCTCTTAGTGGAACAAAGACTTGGTTTCCAGGCGACGACTGTCCTGGTGGATCTGGGAAGGTGAGGTTCAGCACCATGCCACTGGTCCCACAGCTCCATATTCCACACTTCCCATCCTGTTTGCTCCCTAGGACAGGACAGAGGAGAGGGGTACCAGTATCTGCTCTCCAGTATTTGCTAAAGGTGGAGCATTCTGGAGCTGTGGCCACCTCCTCTCTTCTAACTCCAAGTAGTACGCATCATGTTACCTGACAAGTCTCAGATCATTCCTTCTGGTGGAGACAAACTATGTCTCCCCTTAAGGAGCTGCTGAGCTGGTGGGGGCAGAGAGCCTCTGCCCCAGGGATAGCAGGGGAGCTTTGTACACTGAGGTTGGGGGACACACTGAAATTAGCCAGAGACTTTATCTAGTTAGGACATCAGAATATTGTTGCCCATGTTAAGTATCTTGTTCAAAACAGTGGACCCAGGGTGGTAAGCCTAGGGGCATTTCATCAGGGAAAAGAGGTTTCCAAGGGAAGAAAGTGGCCAGGCAACAAACGGATGGGTGGGAGAGGGACTCATTCTGTTCTGTGAGGTCCAAGGATGGGAAACAGGACAGAAGTTACAGGGAACCAATTTCCTCAGGTTCAAACTAAGAATATTCTAACAGCTGTCCAAAAAGGTAAAGTATGGCTCTCGGAGGACTTAAGTCTTTGTCATTTGGTCCTCAGTCCCTGGCAGACCCCATGTTTGCTGAATTGCAAAGAGGATATGAGGAGAGAAATTTGATGACATGGAGAGGAGAGTGTGCAGGGTTTGCTGCTTAAGACACGGGGTGCAGGCCACTCCTCACTCCCTGTGGGAACAGCAAGAGCTTAGCAAGGAAAACAGGAGGTACTGATGGGGAAACCATGTAGGCTGGACCTGGCAATCAATAGAAGAGCTGAGTAGGTAAAATCAGGTACTAGAAAATACTTTTTAAACAACAAAGCTCATGAGTTGTAAGCAAGAGGAGGCAACCACGGGCTCCTGGGGTGGTGGTACGCAGGAAGGACTAGGCAGGGGTCAGGGAGGAGGCAGAGTCGTGATAGTACTAGGCACACCAGGGAGAGGAAGGCCTTGGGGACCCACTGCGTGACGGCAGCTCAGGTTGGGGTCTGAAGGCCTGGGGTGACAGCAGAGACAGGGCGGGTTAAACTGGCTGTCTGGAGTTGGGGTTTCCCAAAGCTCCCAACTCCCAGCCTTGGCTTCCTGGACACCTGGGAAATCACATTATTAGCCAGCCAGTAGAAAAAATACCTTTTTATTAATTATTAGGAATAATCCATTCATTTGATGCAGGGCGTGTCCGGGAGACTTAGGTACTGCCGGACGGAAGAGGGGAACCGTGCAGGAGGAACAGTGAAAAGGGGGATGGCCCCCCGCCTGCCACAAACTATAAACAGCAAAATGAACACAAAGAATCACAAATAATGGGGTCCTTCCTTGTGTCTCCTCCCATCCATTCTTCCAGAATGACTCCCACTGTGGTCCCTAGAGGTGCCAGGGCATCTGGAAATTCTGGGCTGGGAGTGGGGTGCAGTGTGTGGCCTCGAAGTTGTGCAGATGCTTCTGAGCCTGAGGGGAGAGGGTGGGACAGGTGGGGTGCAGAGCACAGACACCCTCCAAACCCACTGCCAACTCTACAAAAGATGTCGCTTCCAATGCTTATGGGGTACCCTGTTCCCAAGCCCCACATGTGCCCCCTGGCCATTCAGGCACCCCCTTCCTGCTTCCCACCCTGGAGCTCACCAGAAACAAAGCCAGCTGCCGCCGTCCATCCACACTCATGTCCTCCCCTGCAGAGAGGAGACGCTCAAACTTGAGCCATGCACCTGGGTGTTCATCCCCAGCCCCCTCTCCTGCCCCGGGAC